GCTTGCGGCTCTTGGGTTTTCTCCTTCGGCTACTGACCCGTCGCCTTTTCTGCGCACAGGCACTTCGTTGCCGCCGTTCTACATCCTCATGTCTGTCGACGACTTGGGTTTTGCCACTGCTGACACTGAGGCACTGGCCCTTGTGAAGTCAGAGCTGTAGAAGAGACACACCTGCACTAGCATGGGTGAGCTGCGCAGCTATCTTGGCTTGCAGATCACCCGGGACAATGCACGGTGCACCGTTACCCCGACTCGGTCACACATGGTGCACCAGGTCCTTCAGCGCTTCGGCTTCCGGTACTCCTCGCCACAGTCCACTCCTCTGCCTACCGGTCACTCGCTCTCAGCTCCACCTTCGGACGAGTCCGTAGAGCCGAGTGGCTCGTATCCAGAGCTTGTGGGATGCCTCATGTACCTGATGACCTGCACTCGACCTCACCTTGCCTACCCTCTTAGCATCCTGGCACGCTACGTTGCACCCGGGAGACACCGACCAGAGCACAGGGAGGCCGTTACGAGGGTGTTGCGCTACTTGTGCAGTATTTCGGGCATGGGGCTCGTGCTTGGAGGACGGGGTCCAGTTGTTCTCACTGGACACGCAGACGCGTCTTGGGTTGACGACTTGGCTACGCAGCGGTCGTCACACGGTTACACCTTCAGCCTAGGTTCCGGCACTATTTCTTGGTGTTCTACTCGCTCGTCTTCAGTTCTCAGTTCCAGTTGTGAGGCTGAGATCTACGCAGGGGCCATGGCTGCACAGGAGTTACGCTGGCTCACCTTCCTGCTGCCTCGTTCTCCTCCAGTTCAGTACGTAGACAACAAGGCCATGATTGCCTTGTGTCAGGAGCACAGACAGGAGCACAGGACGAAGCACATCGCTCTGCGATACTTCCTTGCTCGAGAGTTGCAGCAGCGTGGTCAGCTTCGTCTTGCTTACGTGGCCACTCGGGCCAACACTGATGTTATATTTACCAAGGCACTTCAGCCTGGTGATCATCAGCGGTTCCGTACTTTTCTAGGCCTTGTGCCTACTTTGCCTCACTTGCTCACTGCGTGACTTTGCTTCTACTGTGATCTATATACATATACTTGCATGCTTACCCCTGCTAGGTTATGATCACCGTACTGTTTGTTCTCGTTTGTATAATTCCGCATGTGAACTGGCCTTGTGGCCATTTGCTTGTGCTCAAACTGTGTGGTGACTTTGTGATTCACCCTGAGCTTGCTTTGCTTTTTCTTGACTGGTCTTGTGACCTTCTGTTCTCCCCCACTTTGCCTATGGGGGTGTGTCAAACTCTTATAATGTTTATATTGTGAAGGCTGTAGTGGGGTAGCCCATAAGGGGTACAACCCAATTAGGGTTAGTACTTGTACCAACTTTCTTCTCAATGCAAACATTCCCCTCATTTAGTTTCTGACAGAATTGTGTGAGAAATGTGCAACGTGACATCACCTTGAGACGAGAGAGTGAAGGGAATTGAGTTTGGAAGTGAATTTCGTTACAGCATTTTGACATATTTTCAGCTAAATTTTGATTAGGGACCAGGTATCATCAGGCGCAGTGCACCAGGCCCTATGAGATCATTAATTTTTCCTTGAATTTCCTGATTTTCAGCCTACTTTTGTGTACCTACACTGATTTTTCAGTGTTAACATTTTTGTGAGATTGATTTTTCGGTCTTCATTTCATAGATAACACTGATTTTTCAGGCTTTTATCGAAGTGTACACTGAATGCACATTCCTCATGTACCTGATGACCTGCACTCGACCTGACCTTGCCTACCCTCTTGGTATGCTACATTACACGCTGTCATGCTACGTTGCACCCGGGAGACACCGACCAGAGCACTGGGAGCACTGGTCACGTTGCGCTACTTGTGCAGTACTTCGGGCATGGGGCTCGTGCTAGGAGGACAGGGTCCAGTTGTCCTCACTAGACACGCAGACGCGTCTTGGGTTGACGACTTGGCTACGCAGCGGTCGTCACTGGATTACACTTTCAGCCTTGGTTCCGGCTCTGTTTCTTGGCGGTCTACTCGCTCGTCTTCTATTCTCAGTTCCAGTTGTGAGGCTGAGATCTACGCAGGGGCCATGGCTGCACAGGAGTTACGCTAGCTCACCTACCTGCTGACCGACTTGGGAGAGCGGCCTCGTTCCCCTCCAGTTCTGTTCGTAGACAACAAGGCCATGATTGCCTTGTGTTAGGAGCACAGACTGGAGCACAGGACGAAGCACATCGCTCTGCGTTACTTCCTTCCTTGAGAGTTGCAGCAGCGTGGTCAGCTTCATCTTGCTTATGTGGCCAGTCGGGCCAACACTGCTGATATATTCACTAAGGCACTTCTGCCTGGTGATCATCAGCGTTTCTGTACTGTTTTATGCCGTGTACTTAATTTTCCTCACCTACTCACTGCGTGACTTTGTTTGTACTGTGATCTATGTATATCCATGCATGCTTACACTTGCTAGGTTATGATCACTGTACTGTTTTTTCTCTTTTATATAACTCTGCATGTGAACTGGCCTTATGGCCATTTGCTTGTGCTCGGAATGTGTGGTGACTTCGTGATCCCTTTGAGCTTGCTTTGTTTTTCTTGACTGGTCTTGTGACCACTTGTTCTCCCCCACTTTGCCTGTGGGGGTGTGTCAAAATTATATAATGCTGATATTGTGTAGGCTGTAGTGGGGTAGCCCACAAGGGGTACAACCCAATTAGGGTTAGTACTTGTACCAATTTTCTGCTCGATGCATTCATTCTCGTTCAGTTTCTTGACAGTGTACACACCCTCTACCGGTATATGTTGCTGGTGAATATTCATTGCTTCTGTTTCGAGTGCACCGTTCTATTCGATAGGAACCTATTGTTTGTTGGGTGGATGTGATTGTTCATTGCGCGAGGTGACTGGTTTGTTAGATGCCCCTTTGCCTATTGCGAGGCGGATCCATTTATAACGTTCAGATTTGTGCTCGTCTAGCTGACAGATCTCTCTGGCTTCTAGCCCTTCATTACTGAACTGACACGTGGTTTCATAATTCAATCTGATTTTGCGAACACAAACTCATAACGAGCCAGTGAGGAACGAACCGAGGAGGGTATAAGTCCCATTAAATAGGGGGATTCAACCGAATAACAGGGTGCATTGCTCTGCTTCTTGCACTCCTCAGCAGATGTACAAACGCGTTGGCCAATATCTTCACAGATGTGTATTCTTTGTGTGGATGTGGAAGCTTTGGAGGATGGAGTTGGCCACAGCCTGAAAATTATTTGATTGAGGTTATGATAACCACCCCGCAACTTCCCAGGTCAGAGTTATGAGGGCGTACAGATCACCCATTAGAGTGCACTACTCCACCCTTGGTGCTCTACATGTGCGTGTGCACTACACGTGCATGTCAGTGCGTATCGGTGTACTCCCCCGAGCCTGCCCAGGAGGAGTAACTCCGAGTAAAGCAACTCCAAGTAGGGGCCATAGATCACCGCCGTTGATTCCAGTCAACAGTACTGAAACTGAAATCGCATGCAGTTTCCATGGTTGGAAGAAGGTCTGGCTTCACGTGCCTCCTGATAAGTGTACTCGCATGATGCGCCAAATTCGTGAGATCCGAAAATATTTGATAGAGATTCCTCAGACAAGATTCCTCAGTGGAGCATTCCTAGCGCGGGGAACCACCGCGGGATATGATAGCGTTCCGATCCGTACCCTCTCCACACGTCATCCCAGATTGGAGTAGCCCCACAGTTTCATGCGTCCTGGTACCTCAGGTGGTGTCCGAAGTGAAACGTCGACATCCGTTTGCGGATGTCGGCAAATCCTGACAGTCGAAATCTTCGATCCGAGGGCTGACAAGCACCGACATCCAGCGACGTGGTCATTTCGGACACGCCCTCAGGTTCCCTGCCACTGGAATTCCAGCCTCCCGTTGCACCAGCGCGCGGGTGGGGCGTGGCCTCCAGCAGTGCGGGGCCTCCAGCAGGGCGGGTCCCGCCGCGCGGCTGGAAGCGCGGCATCCCATGGCACTTACTACCCTGATGCTGCCGAGGCGAAACTTCGGCCGGAGGACGAGCCAAGTTCTTTGAGCAGGTTCTTTGAGCAGTGCATGCACCTGTATCCCCCCTCTGTCACGTCACAATCTGCACAACTGTTAGTACTGTGATCATTCATCACGGACATCAGCTTCCTACTAGAACTACCATGATCTGCTACTAGGGTAGCAACATCAACTGCCTAGAAGTACTGATTTCGATACCCCAGCCTTGCCGCCATGTCGCATTCTTCTGAAGCGACTATTTCGCCTTCATCCCAATCCCCGCCGCTCGCCATACAGCCCTGGTCCCCAGAGGTGAGTCCAGCGAGGTGAGTGCAGAGAGGTGGGTGTGAGTTCAGCACTGGAAACGCTCTTAAGATCCACGCGATTTCCAGCCTGAAAAAGGGGAGTGAATAAAGATTGGTTCTTGAAGCCTTCCTAGTAGCCATGTTGGTGTGAATACATTTGTGCTTCAAGACAAGCTCCCTGTGCGTCAGTCACTCTCACAATACCTTGAGCCCGATCATTGGGCTTTGTGTCACGCTCTTTCACCGGATTCCTTCTGAGGCGTGCTGAAAGATAGGTCAATCATTGACCACGAGATCCGTGTTTATCCGTGCTTTCACGTGCAATGCACGTGCAGGAGGACACCGTTCTGCTGCACCATGCACAACATTATGGCACGAAGAGGTGGAGAGAGCTGAAGGAGAGCGGTCATCTCAAGAGGAACAACAAGTTGTGCTGTAACCGTTACATCTTTCTCAGAAGTTAACCCTGCATGTCACATTCGTTTTCGAGACTCACTGAGCCCGTCAACACGCACCCCTCGCCTGAGCCTTTCTAACACGCCTTAGCCTTTTTATTAACTGAGCCTTTCTGGCTCCTCTCCTGTGGCCGTGTCTTGATGGCAGGAAATTCACTCAGCGCTTTCAGCAGAAACTTCTGAGTGCTGCATTCTCTGGGAACGTTCCCATGGAGGGCCACAATCAGCTGTTGCCCTGTCAGGATGGCAAGCAGCAGCAGCAGCAGCAGCGGAAACAGCAGCATGCGGATGGCATTGGTTCACCTGCTCTGGCATTCGGAGGGCTGTCGTCTGACGAGTGCAGCATCGTGTTCTTCTCACCCAATGCCACCTGCTGCCACCCACCAGCTCCAACGCACCACTCATCTGCACTCACCCCGGAACCAGACCCTGCTTCCCAAGCCGCCACCTTCTCTGCTTCTGCTACTGCCTCTTATTTTCCGTTCCCATGTGATGCCTCCTTCCCCGTTGCTGCTGCCTCCAATGCCGCTGCCCTGAGCCTTCCAGTGAAGCAAGCAAGAGAGGACTGCCCCGGGCATGGGGCAGACCAAGCGGGGCTGGGTGGAGGTGGGGTTGAGACGGGGGTGGTGCGCAGCAGGAAGCGGCAGGCTCAGTCCGTGGCAGAGCAGTTCCAGCAGCAAGGGGAGAGCAGGCGCGTGCAGGACGAGGAAGCAGTCCTTCTGGATGCTTTGCTGCTGGAGGAGCATCGCCAGCTGCACGGAGGAGGAGGGAGGAGGCGAGTGCAATCAGCGCTGTGGCCGTATATGGAGTGGGAGAGCGCCCTCCCAGATGACGTGCTGCGGGGTTTCAGCAGCCTTGATGCCGGCGTCACCACACCGCATGCACCAGTGCCAGCGCCACTGCCCACCCCACTCGCTGCTGCGCTGGCTGGTTCTGTAAGCGGCTTGCACACGCACGCTCACGCACTCCACCCCAAGCGGCTTGCACACGCACGCTCCCATGCAGCCCCGCCATGCCTTGCTGCAGGAGCCCTTGGCCGCCGGTGCTTTACCAGCTCTCAAGAACCTGGCGTTACCTCAGCCTGACATGGCCAATGCTCTGGAAGGTGGTGGAGCTGCATTGCATGCCACGGACGGCCATGGGCTCAACTCAGATGTGCACGCCTTGGCTAACTTTCTTGCGCTTGGAGGAACAAGAACCGAGTTGAATTTTGGAAATAACTGGAATGGGGCCATGGTTGACCACATCAAGGAAACGCGTGAATCGTTTAATTCCCCGGGTACTGCCATGCTTGATAGTGGGATGTTTCCATCCCAAGATATAATTATCCAGAGTCTTTGGGGTCATTCTGATCAGGCTTCTGAGATTTCACCGAGCTTATTAGAAGCTATGCTGCGTTGTTCGTCACACAAAAACGTGGTGCTCAAATGACAATTTGTAGGATTGTGTAACGATTCTTAATATTCGCGTCACATCTTCGATTTTAGCCTCCCTTCTCGGTAATTGTCGAGTGGAGGAATTGGTAAGAGGAGGGGAGGCAACGACTTGCTCGCAAAATCTGGAGAGAATTGCTCCAGTGCCTTGTTTGGTGATTCGCTCTTGCCCACGTGTCCCCAAATTGCTCGAGTGGCCATCAAATTCAGTGATAATTGCTCGAGTGGCCACGCCAGGGCATTTTCGAGGGGTTTTTTTTCTCCGGCACATTACCCTTCCAGGGTTTGTATCCCCGAAATTCCTCGTTCGCACGAGTCTCATCCCGCGGTAGTGATTCGTATTATTCCCCACCCAAAAATTTCGGGTGGTTGGCGGGCACGAACGTGGCCCGACCAATAGTATATGCGCGGCCATTTTCGCCCCACTGCGCGACCAATGAGCACGCGGGCAAACAAATTCGGAACCAATAAGCGCTCGAGCATATAAATCCGCGATCATAAACCTAACGACCGCGCATGATTCGTCAATGATATGCTCGGTGCAATTGTTGGCATTACACGTCCAATCAGGTGCCATCATTAAGGATTGCGACCATATTTGACCGGGCCAATGAAACTCAGTTTACTTTATGATCTCGCCAATTATATGCTAAAAACACTCGCACAAACATAAACTCTGGCCAATTAGGTTCTAATTAAAACGCTCATGTTCAGATGGATGCACGAGTACTTTCCATGTACCATTTAAACGGCAACGGCTTAAACATGTCAAGCTCTATGCATGTGTATGCTGAGTCCTAAACATTGATTTGGAGTTTACGATGCAAGCCGTTTCAACATTTATTGTGTTTTGTGACCAAGGAAGGTTTCGATGATGTCGTCAGCCACCCCTGTACACGTTGAGCAAACGGTGACATTAGTAAGTAAGGTTAGCAGTTTGATGGTTCTAATGATAAGCAATGATGTTAAAATCATACATCTCACCAGCTGCTGGCTCGCTTGCCAGTGCGGAGCCGTGAGACGGGGGGTTGGGATTGTTGGGTGAAGTCGACATGCTCAAGCTGTGCTGTGAATCTGTCATGCCAGCTACTGGATGTGCCGTGCTGGGTGCAACGGCTGGTGGTGTGGGTAGGACATGCGGATGGGGTGCCGTGTTTTGTGCTGCGGAATGGCCTGCAGTGTTGGGAGCAATGGGTGCTGAAGGGGCTGGGTGTACGGAGATAGGGGCTTGCACCTGGCTGAATGGATGGATAGGGATTTGGTTGAATGCAAACTGCTGGGATGGAAAATGGAGGTTGGGAGGAGGGTGTCTGTGGGTGTACGGCTGCCATCCACCAGGGTTTAGGGTTGCACCTGCGGGTCCCGCGAAGGCGGCGGCTGGCGGGTGGTAGTTGCCAAACGTGGCTCCTGGGTGCTGGTGGGATAAGAGAGGTGGAGCCTGTGTGTGAACTCCTGCTGGCGCTGCGGTGGAAGGCTCAGGGAGGCTGCTGAGCACTTCACGCCAGTTCCTCCACTCTGCCCACCGCTTCGCATCCACAATCCTCTCAACCCCTTGCGACGTCAGACCCTCCAAACACCTCCTCTCCTCCACGCTCAACTGCACCATCTTCGAGCTGGAGATGGACGGTAGGCAGATGTGGGCGGCTGCTGCAAATGCTTTTGCGGCATCCAAGACCTCGGTATACCGTCCCAGCGCCAACCACTTGTTATCTAGGCACATTCGTACCGCCCACTTACCTTCCCGTCTGCTTATACCAGTATAACCTGAGCTAGGAGCTCGACCACGCGCAGTGTTGCGACTCGTCGTCTCAGTCCCTGTGCTGTATGCGGACACCAAATCCACATCCACATTCGAGGCAGTCACACCATGCCCAGTACCCACGGCCTCTCTAGCACCTCTATTACCATCCGTAGTACCCAACAAGCCTCCGGCACCTTCATCACGCACCTTCCCACCTTCACTAGTCTCAACGGCAGCCACAGGACCCTCACCATGTGCACCTGGGTTGCTGTCATGTGTGCCAGCATTGTCCCCACCCATGACTTCCACACGTGCAGGTTCACCAGTTCCACCGGCCCCTGCCACATCACCATGTCCCTCCCCTGCAGCCTCACCGTCTACGCCATGCTGCGGAGTACGAGAAAGCATCAGCTCACGCAATTGCCTCTCGAGCTTGGCAATAGCCACTGCCTGACCCTCATTGCGAACCTCCAGCCTATGCATCCGTTCTGCCATCTCCGCTCTCCACTCCCTATCCTCCACCTCATCACCTATCACCTCAGGCTCGGGCGGTTTCCTTATCTCATTGCCAGAAGGGATCTCATGCCCAGCTGCCGTGAGCTCCCCGATCAACCGTCCTTCTGCATGAGCGCACACATCCTCCCGTAACCTGCGTCGATATGCCAGTGGGCTCATGCTGAACCGTACCCCGTTCTCAGCACCTTCGAAACACGCCTCCACAAGCGCGTGAATGTACTGGCATACGAAGATGCCGCACTCAAAATCGTTCTGCTGCAGAGGCATCTGCCACGCCTGCAATACACCAAATGTACATGCAGCATAATGAAAAACAGACGGGAGTGTACACGTGTATCATTTGATAAACTATGTATGTAAAATGTTTAATGTCACATGTGCACCATGCAGAGTACAACATTTTGCACGGGAAAGCACCTTGCATGTACAGATGGCTGCACTCAACTTAGTGGCACCATACACACGACAACACTTTGAACCGGGCAGTACATTGGTTGTTTGGCAGCATCGTGCACATGGGTGCACCATGCGCATGGTTGCACCAGGATTGCATGGGTTGCAATAATAGCATGGCTGCACATGAATAAGCATACGATGTAGCATGGTAGACAAGCGTAGTACTGGTCAACACACCTCCATGATGTGTGGCTGGAATCTCCCGAGCCTCGCTTTCATCTCTTCTATTGGTCGGTTTCCATGGTCCTTCTCGTAGGCCATGCCTAGCAAGCTGTGACGGGACCGCGTTGGGAAGGACAAAAGACGAAGTGGAAGTTTGAATAAATGAAACAAAATCATGCACGGTGATGTTTGCGTGCTTGTAAGTGAATTTGTGTTCGCAACCTCTAGCGGAACCTTACTTGGTCATGTTCTTGAATGCATTGCCCCCAACAGCATGCATCCCAAGGGAGTCATACAGCAGCAACCACGCAGGCTGGGTGGCGATGTCCTCGTCGAGCGGGAGAGTCACAACTCCAGGATTGACCACAATCATCACACTGAAATGAAACCTGCATCGTCACCACATTACACAACTAATGTCACGGTCAGGCAAAACAACAGCCGAAGCCCTTTGCGTGTAGGCTAGACTAGACACGGGATCATGGCACTTACCCGCCAAAGATTGGCATGGCCAGATAGTCGTAGCTGAAGATCGACGCTCTGGACTCTCCACTGGCGATCTTGCCCCGTGAGCAGAAGTAGTCGTAACTTTGACTGTCCAACGCGAGCCACGTCTTGCCGTTGCTCAACTTTGGCCGGCGGATGTTGAGCACTCTGCGGTGAAAGAGGCAGTAAATGTAGCACAACAATGTGAGATTTGTAAGTGCGATAATCAAGACACAAGGGTTCATCACCGGAGTCTACATGTCTGTGGTATGGCACTTACATATTATGGAAATCGATGAGCGGCTGCGTGATCGGCTGATTATCTGTGATGTGCAGAGCGTCGGCCATCGTGATAATGGCCGTCATGCCGTGATGGTCACGAATCGCATGCGTGGGAAAAAAGGGATGCGTAAACTTGTCCGCAGTAGCTCTAGACTCCTCATGTGTGTTTAGCAACGGGATCTTGGTATCTCCGGTGATTTTCGCGATGAGATCGTCAGGTTCTACCAACGGCGTCTCAAACTCCGGCTCCACGCCATAATCGTGGGGAGCTAATTTTTTCAAGACCACCGGATCAGACAGCGTGGCGCAATGCTCCTTGATAGTCATCGCGTTTGCGTGGCCCAATTTCAGCCTATCACTATGACGAAGACCGTCATCTTCTCCCGAATCCACGTCGGGCGTTGACGTGCCTTCACGTTTTCGTTGACGTTTCCCTCTACCACGAGCTGCTCGACCTGACATATCCACCGCCTAATCGCGCGCCGACGGCTCGTGTATCACGTAAGTACGGAGTTAGGGATAGGAAAGGGTGCTAGAGGCCTAAACCGGTAGAACTTCTAGTATCCACTCTAGGAGCTATCTATCCCTAACTTTGCGTTCTGGCGGACATATCGAGAGGAATATGCCCGGCACATGACGTGGTTTAGTTGGTGCCAGTGTTTGGGTTGAGCTTCGTACCTCACGCGCAATTACATGGTTACCGTATTTCGTTTGTCAATTTGTGATAATACGAGGGATTTATTTGTACTTCGCGCATTGTACTGAGTCGCGGATCGTTAGGGTTGCGATGTAACCGCAAAGCCGAACTCACCGAAATGTTCACAGTTGAAATGCGCACTTCATAACCTGTCAACTGCGCCCATACGCATATGACGCTCATATGCGCGGACCAATCAAACGCAAGCCAAAGATGATCGGTCATATTTGTATGCCTGTCAAAAAAGCTCGATTGCATATGAACCGCTCATATGCACGGACCAATCAAATGCAATTCGGAATTGACCGGTCATATCCCTGTGCAATTTGACAGGCAACTGCGCGTGTGCTATGTCCGGTCATATGCATGTGATATATGCCCGGGCATTTGGCGATGTACGCGATGTTATAAATTTTGCATCAACGCGCTACATGCCCTGCAGACTCGATACATAGCAAATATTTGTTTACCATCGTTTCTGAATTATTCTTATTGTGACGAAAATAGACAAAGTGATTTATTACTTGGCCCACCGCCTAATAATGTAGTCTCTAGTCGCCGGCATATCAGAAAATAACTATGTAAGTGCAATACTTATAACCCAATTGAAGTGGTTTTGTTTGTGCAGTTGATAATGTAATAGGACATCATCAGATCAACGTGGTTTCTACACAATGTTGGAAACAAATAACTTAAACGCCTCTGAAGTATCGAAGTATCGACACGAAACGGAGCAGACTACAGCGAAGAAACACACGAGTCAACAAAGCAACCGCTGGAGGTTACGCGAAGGTCAAAGGTCGCTGACAACTCTTATATTAACGCTTCCGCAATTACAACATCTCTGCTTCAACGCTTGATCTTAGCCTTGAAAGATCCTAAGGGCTTTTCTCAGCCCTACACACAACACGTCAATTGTAGAATTGTATCCATTTACTTGATGTAGTGTATCCATTTACGGTCCGGTCGTGTTGGTTACACTACTTGTTAGAAGAACCATGTGTCATTGCAATCTTGAATTGCAACCCTTATATTTGTTGGGCTGAGAAAAGCGCTAAGGATATTACCAGGCTAAGACCAGTTGACGACGGAAATGCACATTACTTGTTTTCCCGATTAGAAAGTCGTTATACAGTGCCGACACAGCTCTCCATCCAGCTGCATTTACAACATTTGCGTGAAACCCTGTTTCAATATAACACTTTTTTGTGGATTTCTCCAGCATCATACATTCTCCACTGGAATGTTGACCTATACAACCATTATATATGTTTATAATCAACAATAATAAAAAACTAAACTGTATCCGTCCTTGTCACGTAACGGTATGCGTGCACGATGACATCGAACCCGTCAACCCGGCCAATGGACCGTTCATATGCGCGTTGTCTTTCGACCAGTCATATGCTCATGCGCATATGACCGGTCATATGCGCGGGAATATATGACCAGCCATATGTTCATGTGTGTGTTACTGGTCAATTGCGGTAGTGAATATGGCCGGTCATTTGTTCGTGTGTATATTATTGGTCGAGCATATTGTGTCAAAATATGTTCACATATTTTATATAATCGTTTGCAGTTGTAGTGTAGTTATTGCATCATGTTTGGTGGTGCACCTCTTTGTGTTGCTGTTTGCCTATTTGTACTCTCATTTCTCATTAGTGAAGCCCCTCTTTTGGCTTGCCATTTCCTCTCGTCACCCTCACCTAGTTCAAACCCTAAGCTACTATGCTCCTAATCTTAACATGGTATTAAGAGCTAGGTCGTCCTAAGACCTAACCTTTTCATTCTCAATGGGCCCACCGCGTATTTCTCGGTTTGTGGCGCCCGTCGTGCCCTTAGTTGCGACTGATGTGACGGGCGCGACGGCGAGCTGTCTGC